TAAATTTAAGAATTGAAAAGAAATCTATGCATTTTATTTTAAAGGTCCCCTAAAGATATATTAACCTTTTGTTTCCCTCTGAGACACTACAATACTGATATATAATTAAACTGCATTGCTCTTTCTACTTGATATTCTATTTTTTACTTGTTCTTAATTAAGGGTAGATATCTTTGTTAATCCTAATTATTAATTTGTTTCTGTACATAAGACAAATAATTATTTTTTTAAGAAATATTTTGTCATTTTTATTTTTTGTTGTGTGAGTTTATTGCCTGCACAAATAAAAGTGCAATGCCTGAGGAGGTCAGAAGAGTGCATGGGATTCCCCTGAAACTGGAATTAGAGACAGTTATTGTCTGACATGTGGGTGCTAGGAATCAAACCTGGGTCCTCTGCAAGAGTAGCCAGTGCTCTTAACCACTGAACCATCACTCCAGCTCCTTGAACAAGTAATCCTTAAAGGGTAAAATATGAGGCACTATTACATATATGTATGCATAGATATACATGAATATAATAATATTTATAAATATCGATTACAGAAAGTAAAAGTTAGATAACATGCACATGAAGAATATAGAAGTTCATAATGACTATTGTGTGAAGGTCAGTGGTAGAAAACAGTGAATTCTTCATTCTGTGCAGTAGGTCTAATCTATAGCCGCTACTACCTTAATAATAATTTGTTGTAATCATTTTTTAATGATTTGGGGACTATAAGTAACACATCAGTTAGGGAGAGAGGTGACCCACATACCTGGCTTTTCCCTGACCGTCAAGCAAGTAGAAGTAGGAAGAAAGAACACCACCATCCAAGGCCACAGTTTCCAAGAGCCAGTGTGCCTCATTGTGCCTTGAAACCATGAGAACAAGTAGCCAGAGATCTGCAAGGCAGAAATATTCACGTTAAGATGCCTGTATTCTACTCCATCCCAACCACATCAACAAAGTGAAAACAACAGATTCCTATACCACATATAATTATACTATATTATGGTAGGGTACATGACCATCTAACATGCAATTGTACATATCAATATCCATGTTAATTTTGATGCAAGACCTTGGGAGATATTCCTAGATTACTTAAGAAAATATTATTTGTTTTTATTTTCTGTATATGAGTGGTTTGCCTGTCTGTTTGTGAGTGCACCCATGCATGTGGAAGCCAGAAAAGAGCATCAGATTACCTGGAACTAGAGTTACAGATGGTTGTTAGCTGCCTTGTGGGTCCTGGGAACTGAACCCAGATCCTCTGCAAGAGTGGCCAGGTCTCTTAATTGCTGAGCCACCATTTCTCCAGCCCCTAGATTATTTCTTAGTTACTGATGAAAGTTGACATCGCCTTTTATAACTTAAGATTTCCCAACTTTTCAATGATTTCAAAGGCATACCTCTTACAATGATGTGCTTTATTTATTTTTTAAATTGTGATTCAATATATTTAATGTAAAATTCACATTTTTTATCACTTTTAGGTGTACATGTCAGTGAGATTAAGTACAACTGCTGTGAAACCATCACCCTTACCCAACTCCACAATTCTTTTCAAGCCCTGTGCCTATTAAACCATGACTTTCCATCACATATCTGCAAAACTCTGATTCTGAGTCTCCTTTTCCCACTATACATTTGACTTCTGAAGGTACCTCATATAAACAGAATTCATTCCATCTTTGTCTTCTTGTGTCTTTATTTCAATAAGTATAATACTTTTGGTGCATGCATGCATGTGTGTGTGTGTGTGTGCGCACGCGTGTGTAGGCAAGATGTCAATCCCGGTATCACTTCTCAATAGTCATACACTTTGCCTTTTGTTTTATTCCTTGTTTGTTCGTTGAGACAGGGTCTCTGTGTAGCTGGCCTGGAACTCACTATGAAGACCAGACTCGCCTCGGTCTCATAGAGATCTGCCTGCCTCTGCCTCCTGAGTGCTGGGAGTGAAGGCATACGCCACCACACCCAGTCCACCCTGCTTTTTGAGACAGGGTCGGGCATTCAGCTGGAGTTCACTGACTAGGCTGTGCTGCTTGGCCAGCATGCTAGCCTCCTCAATGCTGACATGACAATCACACAGTACCATACGTAGTTTTTAAATTTGGTCTCTGGGCATTGAACTCAGGTCTTCACACTTGTACAGTAAGCACTTTACCAACTGAGCTATTTCCTAGCCTATAACAAAATGTTCCAAAAGTCCATCCATGTTTTAACACATGTCAGACTTTTCTCTTGTTTTTAGGTGGATGATACTTCATTTTGTTCCTGAGGAAGCACCATACTCTTTTCTTTCGTTTCATTTTTCATAATAGTTGTACCATTTTACAGTTCTAGTAGTACTAGAGTACAAGTATTCTGAGTTCTCCATATCCTCCATTACATTTGTTAACTTCATTTTTGATAGAAACTGCTGATGGGTATGAGATAGTAGCACACTTTGGTTTGGATATTCATTTTCCTGAGTATTAGTGATATTAACACCTTTTCATGTACTTACTGGCCATTTATATGTCTATTGTGGGGGCATGTCACTCAAATCCTTTCCCGATTTTTCAAACTCATTTATTTGTTGTTAAATTGTATATTTATGTATTATGAGAGTTGATATCTGTTTATGATTTGCAGATGTTCTCTTCCATTGCATGAGTTCTCAATTCAGTCTACTGACTGTGTCCTTTGACACAATATCTTTTAAAATAAAGTTTATTTTATTTATTTACTCATTAACCATACATTTGGTGTTATATAAAATGATTCATAAAATTTTTTATTTGTTTTTATTTATTTTTATGTGTATGACTCTTAGGTTTGTATGTGGTAAGTGCACCCATGCATAATGCCCACTGAGGCTAGATGAAGACACCTGATCGCCTGGAACTGGAGTTAGAACAGTCAACTGTTAGCCACCACGTAGGTGATGGGAACCATTTCTCAGTCTTTAGCAAGAACAGCCACTGCTCTTAACCACTGGACCATCTCTCCAATCCCAATGAATCATAATTTTAAATGCAATTTTATTATTCTTTTATTATTCACAATTCTGTTTTGAATTATATTTATATATTATGGCTTAATTCCTGTCAAATTTTATACAAACTATATTGTTACTGGATTGAATACAGCTACTAGAAAGATTACTGTACATATGTAATATTTTATTCTGTTTAAAAAGAAAATGGATATATGCAATGCCAGTGAGCCTGCATTTGACATCATATTTTGTAGTATTTTAAGCCTCATAATTGTTGTTCCGAATGTCCTTTTCCACTCTACAAGTATTTCAGTGGAAGATTCAGTAAATAAAATCTGTATGACCAAAAAGTTTAATATCATTTAAAATAGCTTTATCACAGTGAAGTAACTAAAAAGAAAATAACTTGCATACAAAAATGTAACGACTCCATCAGTATTTTTGCTATTATATTATCATTAGAATAGCAATTCAAGAGTTCTAAATACATAAATAAATGTTATGTTACTTATTTGGCCTCATTCACAGTATAATGAAGAGTCAAATGTGAACGAATTCAACACACAAATGTCTAACTCCTGTCAGCAAACTCTCTTTAGAGAAAACTAATTCCACTGTCTTTGGTATTCTACACACGCCAAATACTCTAAGATCAACATTTTAAAATTAATTCAAGATTTTAGATATTTTTGGATGAATAACTAGAGGCAACAACTGCAATACTTAAATTGTGTGTGTGTGTGTATCTAAATATCAAACAGCTGGTTTTGTGTCTTATTTTTAATTCTAGATCTAGACATAGTCCTGATCCTCAGATGACCTCGTGAGTTGATAACCTCTATTCTCTCAAGCCAGTTAGTCACTGTTAAAGATTTGAAGTATCACATATTGATCTAATTTTCAGGGTGATCTGTGGTTGCACTTTTAGCTGATGTGATTAGTTAATAAATTAACATTAAAATATAATAGTTCCTATAGTAGTTGACTTCCTGTCATACGTATGTTTTTCCATTTTTTAATAAGTGATGGATTTTTCTAAATCCTAATTCATTCATCTGTAAACCAGGAGCACCGGGATGCTACTTAATATATGGAAATTGTATACATGTAGCCTTGAACTGAGTGCTTTAAAGACACCTATGATCATAACCGCTGCAAAATAAATAGTCATATTTACACTTATATTGTTTCTTCAGCACAGGGTAATTTAATTTTTGAAAAACAGAAGTACTAAATTGTTGCAGAAATTCATTATAATCAAAACTTTGGCTCCTGTTACAGCAACAAAGAACTAGAGAGTTATAAAGTCTCAAGATATGAATTTAATCTTGATGTTTACCAACTATTTCTCTGAGCCACTTATAGGATGATCTTGGCTTTAACCTCATTTATCCAAAGTGTTTTAGGTATAAGATTATACGGTAGTTAATCAAATGTTCTGGTGATTGAACATTCAACCACTCCCCTGACATACCTCTCACCAAGATCAGAAAGAAATGAATACAAGAATCCTTTCACTGTCCTAATTCAGCTCCTCCTGGCATTACCAATGGCGAACGATCCACCTTCTTTGAACACTCGGATTAGATGTCCTACCTCACACTATCTGGAATTCCTCCCAAATATTTTGGATCTATTTTTCCTACTTGACTTCTTTCCTCTTCTCTCTTTCCTTCTTTCTTTTCAGTTGAATCCCTCATTCCCATCTTCTACTTCTTTATTCTGTTAGCATATATTTATTGTACAAAGAGATAGGCTTCTTTGACATTTTTGTGCAAGAATATCAAGAACATTGCACACACTCATGCCGCATTACTCTGTCTTGTCCCTCCCATTCCCTCTTTCTGTTTCTTCTGCTTCATCTTCCTTTCATTTCCTTACATGAAAGCCTTCAATCCAGTTTAATTGATGTTTGTGTAGGGTGGGGACAGGAATCTTGAGTCATTCTTCTATGTGGATAACTAGTTTTCTTGCCATCATTTTTTTTTTTTGAGACAGTCTTCCTGTAGCCCCTGCTAACCTAGAACTTGTGTAGACCAGGCTGGCCTCAACCAAGTACTGGGATCAAAGGTGTGTGCACCACACATTTTTAATTCCCAAGTACAACATGATTTCCTCATGTTCTTTATAGTCTCAATAATTATGAACATTTAATATGCTCAAACAAGAAAGCCACGCATTTTTTAAAAAGAAAGCCAAGGATTAATGAACTATAATCCAATTACTTAGAAAACCTGAATACTTTGGCTACACACCTCTCCAGCCTCATCTGATATGCTGTTCCTCCAATTCCCAGGCTCTCTTCAACCTCAAAGTTTTTGTGTATGCCCTCATTCTGAAATCATCTGGGTCCTGTTCACCCTCTTCTTCTCAATCTGAATGTTAATGAATGAAAGACCTGTTAATGAAGTGTCTTTGCCCATTATTCTAAGACTCCAACTGAAAGTGGGCTTACTCTCAATTTGCAATGCTATTTTAATATTTTTATAATTCTTAATGCACTTCAGGATTTAATATTTTAAAGGCTGTTATCACAAGCATTCCTTCTTCTGTGTTTCTAAAATGTATTCACAACTCGAAGTTCCTGCTCCTCAGATTCCAGTTAAGTGAAAATGTACTCTATTCATCTGGAAACATTGGAAAAAGTTTTTATCGAGGTCTCAAAATAAATCTTTGGATACATTTAAAAACATGTTTTCTAAGTTTTTTTAGTTCTTTTGGAGGTATAGGCTGGATTGGCCCCAACAAAATTGCCCTGGGGACCACAGCCCTCTGGCTCTCTGAGACTCTCTTTTTCTTGTTCCTCTCACTGTCCCCAGATACTCATTCATCTCAGGCTGCTGGCTACTGTCCTGGATGCACCATTAATTCCCGTCTTGGATTTCTTGATTCTTGGCTTTGCCCAAAAACCTCTCT